CTGAGGTGTTGTATAATAATTTAGATGGCAGATATCTCTGCCAACAATATCAAGGCAAGGACAAAGCAGTCACTGGGGGAGTGTAAGATGCCATCAAAGTACGATAGAAGGAAAGAAAGAGGAAGAAAGGAGTGAGAAACGAACGCAGAAATACTGACAATTGAGTCCGGATTTGAGACGGTCAGGCCACAAGATGAGCCACTTCATTCATGTGAACCATTTGTCTTACGTTTCCGCATCTGCATTTTCTTTGGGACTTTGGCCCAGCGAGTTCAAGATCTAATACAATTTTCCTTGCAACGTTAGACCAACAAATTGAGGTCTGACGATGGTGGCAAAATGTCAGATAAACACATTGCAAAACTGACTGGTTTCTCAACGTTCTTGCCGAAACTTATCTCATATGAGTTTGATTCTCGGATGGTTGGACATCTGGACATAGTGACCGACTCGTATGGAGGTGTTGATGCCAGGTTCAGCTCAAGAATACTTTGGACACTCTTTTGACAACTAGCAGACGTCATCGGATTCTACATGAGCGACAACCTCACCATAGAACTCACAGGGAGATTAAGTTTCAGGTACTGAGGACCTGCATAGTTCTTTCTGAGACAGTCCTTTGCCAGCGCTTTGAATGATTGCTTAGGATTGTATTCAGAGCCGGTTTGCTATGTAATGTACATGTATGCTATGCTAGTACATTGAACATTATGTGATTAGAGGGACACCAGATTTTTTGAATTAGTGCTGGTGCAATTGTAGACTTTGCATCTTTCGAATGTTTCAAATTAAAGCATGGTCGGTGTAAATTCTGCGATTGACAGGTCGGCATGAAGGCTTTTCCTAATGGCGGAAATCGCAGCGCCTCCCAGCCCTTAAGCCGGTGGCAGTCTGGGCAATTTACGGCATCCCACGTCCGTTCGGGTCCTCTCTTGGCTTTGTGGCGCAAGACCAGGTGACTTTCCATTCTTTGTTGGAGCAAGCATTCGAAGTGCCTTAACGAACTGTGCGCACCAAGGCTGCCACGGCTTGACTGTCCTTCGCCGAGCAGCGTGAGTCTCACCCACTACTGCTGCACGGCTGTGAGCTTTTGCTGCGGGGGGTGTTTGTTCTCGCCCGTTGTCGAGTCCTACGCCTCGATTTCAGACTAATACTGTGGCCTGCGAGCTGCCACGCTTGGCAGGGACTGTGAACTTGTGTTCCACCATCGTTTGTCGAGCCCAGACTTTCGCGGCGTCCTTTGACCTGAGGTTTGGCTCTACAGATATTGCATCACGTATGAGCGACATGAGCACCTCAAGCTTCAAACCGGAGTGGCGTGTTTGCTTCAACAATGGCAACGAAGAATCCGCGTCGCATACGGACAACTAAATGACGCACAATTGCCGTGACTTATGTAATTCAGCACGGAACAACACAAGAAGTTATTTCTGGCGCTCATGTCTATGATGGAAATGGCGGCGATGGATTCAACCATTTGTCGTGAAGGGGACACCAGATGCGCAAGTCATGCACAAAAAAATCGTAGTTGCGTTTCGTTCCGTATATCGAAATGAGCTTTACATCGAGGGAGATCATTATGTACTGCATCAGATGGTCATCTACGTGGATGCCCAGTAGTTTATAACCTGCGCTAGTTCACGTAATGGCACCAGAGCACATCAGACGATGCTACAAGGCATCGGTGGACACCATCTTGAAATTTTAAGCTGCGCCGTCCCAGGCGGTGTCGGGTACTGTAGGGATCTCTGGGCACGGCTGGCCCCACACTCAAGACACTGGTGAGCAAGGTATTACAGATTTCGCATACACACTATATTGTGCAACACCGGCGTTGCCCATTTCAATAAATTTCTGATTGCGTTCAAATGTGCTAGAAAATGGGACTGCAACACACATTTGAGGTACAGGCCATGCAAAAAATGGAACAAAGGAGGTCTTTCCCGACCGTGCTTTTGTTATCTTTTCCTTCCGAAGTAGCCTTGTGCAACTTCCCAATTGCGAGCTAACCTCAACATTATCGTTAATCCCAAAGTTGGGATAGCATCCCATTGTAATTTCAAGGATCGAAGCAACAATGAGAACATAGTCGACAACAATGAGAACGTAGATGTTCGTTGAAGCCTGTTGGGAAACCAGGACTCTTGAGGTTGAATTCTTTTGTCAGTGTATGGAAGGTCATCTTGCGCGAGCAGGGCCCTTGACGGTCTCGCCTTCCAGCTGAAGCCTTGAGACAATTTGCGGCAAGGCCTGCCATTAAACAAACCAACAATTCTGCTCTGGAGCACCATGTAGTAATTTTTATTGCAAAAATATATATTTTTTCAATTAGCGCATGAGAAACATGTGGGACTTATTGCGCTCAGTACCTCGCAAGGTTCTCCGTATTTGAATGCGATTTTCATGCTGCTTTCTTGCATTAACGCCTCGTTGTGCCATGTGGTTGAGCAGTATGGGGGAAGTGGTAAGTGCATTTCCTTAAATCTGATTTCAAAAGCCAAAGCGAGGAACTTGATACTTGTACACGATGATGGACATACAATGAATGGGTGCAATGAATTCAGTGCTGCTCTTATGAAACTGCCGCTTGAATATTCGTTCGTCGCCTACTAACTCGTGGGCATTCCTGCAGACTAAAGATGAATGCGGAAGGCATCAGTCTACATCCGACAAGGGCATCTCAGAGAGCGTGCAGTTCTGCTCGGCCTCCGACTTGAGGGGCAAACGGAGGGGGAAGCGATAAGCTTAGTGGCTTCAAAGGATGCACTAGTGTGCTACTTGCAGGGAGCGACTGCACAGAGATGCCGTGGATGCTAGTTTCTGATCAGAAACTGTTCATGAGCAGCAGCTTCTGAGGCACCATTTTCCAGAGCCTGTTTTGTCTTGAATCAATTGCTGTGGATCATCCGTACCTCATCAAAAGCTGTTCAGCTCCTTCAGATAGTTCAATATACGCGGTTAATTTTGCTCCTTTCTGCGGCGGTCTATATGGCATTGTGGCCAGGATGCGTGACAGGTCAGCGCTGAACGGAACTCCAACACCACAAACGTGCTCATCACGACACATTGCACCACACAACGTGATATGTACACAGAATCACAGCCATCCCAGACAGCCCGCACTAGCAGAAGTTGCTCCAGTTCCCCTGAGCAGAGTAGAGCAGCTGCATTATCATTGCCGTCGATCAGCCGTCGATGGACATAAAGCAGTGGTAATGGGTGCACCCTGCAGATATTATGGTCTCGGCACAGGCATTGAATTGTTGCCCTGCGAAGGGAAACACAAATGGCCGTCTCATTCCAGGATTTTTAGAACCTCATATCTGATGTGGCAAAGCCAGTAGAAATATGACCTGAGTTTAGGCACAGCCCGTAACTGGCGATGTGGTGGTGTTCTGCGCCAACAGTGCACGGCGCTGCAATTTGGCAAGGTGATAAGTTGCCAATTGCATCACGTACAACAACTCTCTAGCCCACTGCCACCACCGCTTCAATCGCTCAGCTTCTCATGAAGAATGACAACAATTGGCCAGCCCCTGTGGTTCTACTGCTTGCAATTGTAGGGAACTCGAATCGAAAGGTATGAATTTACATAATCGGAAGGTATGAATCACGGATTCTTATGTGTTTGAGTTGGGCACAATCGGCGGGTTTGTTTCAGTACTTTATCCAAATCACGACAGGCAGTAGCCATATTTGCACCAGTGGTGCAGCGAAAATGCTACTGTGGCATTTTCGGAGGGACAAATTGCAGCGAATAGGCCACCTTCCAGTGCTTTGATCCGGTGCACAAATCGTCGACTCGGATGCAGACAAACCTGGAATTGACATGAGCACAGCTCAAGAACAAATAGAGCAGGCACTCTCCCCCAATTTGGCGCCTATCTTGAACATGGCACACACTCCTTCCTCATTGGCTATTTGCGTGGTGCGCAACACCGGTGCCTGTTTCACCACGCATCTATCTTGTCGTCAACGCTGGAGCATTCTTCATTCTGGGTCTGTGGGAAGACGTTTGGGACTCGCCGGGATATTGCCGTGGATGCCACGGCCTCCTTTTCCCAGAGTTGCACACGGGTTACATCATAGGATGGCAAATGTGTGCGCTTGGCTGCACTGAGGAATCGATTGGAGCCTCGTTGGCATCATTCATTCTTTGGTCTGCAAATAGCCTTGAAATACACAAAATCACAGTCTCTGTGCCTGTGCTGGGCATCTGGGTCGGCTACCGAAAAATATTCAACCCTTCCACGTAGAAACCTAAATCTTGGCCTTTTCTTTTGGAGAGAATTGATTAGTGATAACACAGCGCTTGGCGTCTTTTGCGGAGCAACGGTAAGAAAAATAACACTCTGGAAAACAAAATGCGGAACAACCAGCGTATACTGCTACGTAGCAGTAAAATTTTTGATGCGGAAGGGTTGAATATTTTATAATACTGTGCTCTGCTCCTCTAGTGTGGCAGTCCCAGCATTGCCGCAAGTCCTTGAAATTCAGCTGCTTTGGTCTCAGTCCGGCCATAAGGCTGATTGCTTGCAACATTTTCCAGGGCAAGCCAGGAAGGTTGGGGGCCTCGCCTGGTTTGGTAAACCATCGACGTTTGGCACCAATTGCGCATTGCCTTGACGCCATGGGTCCAGTCCGGACCTCCACCCCAACGTTGCCTAGATTTGATACACAACCCCAGCGGGAAAAAAGGTATCAGTGATGCACATCTTCTTGACAGGGAGCTGGGGGCCACTTTGCCCCACCCCAATCCCGTGGCGTGCCCGCACTCACGGAATTATCACGCAACCTCAGCGCGCAATTCGGCAGGGTCACCTAAGCCCCAGCCCGTTACTAAATCTTGTGGACGCGGGCGCCCGGCCCAGTGCATAACAACCAGGGCCAGCAATCCGGCGTGGGGCTGCTGCGTTCGGCCGTCCTGGGGCATCCGCGCAAAGACGCAGGCCGGCGGCTGAACGCAAGGCGGCGCCCGCCCGTCTGGGGCCTCTTCGGGCATGCCTGCTCGGGGCCCACAGGAGAGCCATGCGGGGCCCAGCCCCAGCAGCGCTGATGTGCCCTCCCTGGGTGCTGGCGGGACCTGCGCAAGGCGAGGCGGCCAGCCCAGCATCGGCCCGATCGGGGAGATCGTCGCCTCGCGATCCTACAGACTTTTCCTGGTCTACATCGTGTTCTTCACGGGTGAGAACGGCGGGGGCCTGCGCGGGATGTGTGTGTTTGCGTGCGCATTGAGACGGTGGGAAGACTGGCAGCACGGGGTGCATCGGCGCATAATTCCGGAGGCCTGTGCGCCCATCCGGAGCCCTCCCCTGGATGTTTTGGCTCGCTGCCGATTTGGGGGGGACAGCAGAGAGAGGGTGCGCAATGCGCTACAGTTCGTGCGAATTGGTGCTCGTCGGCACGACATCGCCGGGTTGGCCTCTGCCGCGGCCGGCGGGCGCGCGGTGACTCATGCCTGCGGATTCGCTGCATGGGAAGCGCCTGGCGGTGGCGCCATTGTTTAGGGGCGCCGTACCGGACGGTGGGAGGGGGAGCGACGGCGGACGGGCCTCGGCGCGCCAAGGACGGCGAGGGGGGTGGCGGGAAAGGGTGCGGAGTGTTGGGCGCTGCGGGCCCGTACCCACGGCGCTGGCCACTTGGATGCTGCCACGTCGACACGCAGGGTCGCGGTCGTTGGCGGACGATTCGCTGCGCGTCATGAAATCGCGGCGTCCAATCCTTGCGATTGGGAGGGCGGCATTGTCATCATCGCTCCTTTTTACAGAAGAGGGCGGCGCCATCGTCATCAAGCATTGTTGCGTATCAAGGCGAGGAGGCAGCCATCAGCTCCGTATTTCGACCGAGCAAAGCAATGTCCGTGATGTGTTTCATGAGAACCTAAGGCATTCCCACAGCCCCAAGGGTGGCGTTATTACAACGCAGCTGGTAAATGTCATCGGAAAGTCGTGGATGTTATTGGTAAACGCTATGTTGTTGGTAAATGTTGCGTTGTTGGGATTTCCGCTTCGACGTTCGGGCGCACCGCTGGCCTTCCCGCGCATAAATACTTGATTGCGAATGTGGCTGCTGTTCGCAACGAGAGCAGCGCCTGGCGGAGAGTGACACCTCTATTTATTCAAACGAATTCTTGACACCAGATAAGCAGATCTGCACGTGTCGTTCGGCAGGCGCATTTGCGAATTGCGATGGCAACGCCTGTCGTTGACGCCGCGCCGATGACGCTTCGCGCATTTTAGGCATCATGGCCATTCACACTTGTTGGACCACAGCTCAATAGATCATGTTGCATCTCAGTATCATGCAAGCCAATATTATGCATCTCCACATTATACTTGTCAATACGCATCTCAGTATTTCCCGTCGCCTCATCGGGTCAGTTTATCTCGGCGTAACTGAGCGCCCACGGCCACCTCGTCCCCTGGACACGCGAGACTTACCTGAACTACGACCACCGACAATCACTTCTTGGCATCAGGAGTTGATGAATTCATAGCCTTTCTTTGCGCTTACATTAGATTTCAATGAGCTGATCATAGGCACAGCTGCGCTCGGGCAAAATAGGACAGCTGACGTGCCACTTCATTGCCTTGCTCTGTAAAGGCATAAAATTACTCCCCGTTCTTGTTTGCTGAATTTCGGTTCTTGTTTTCGGACACCCTAGACCCCAACTGCTCATCCACGCACCGGGACCGGCCTTGTCAGCGGAACAAGAGCCGAAACTCGGCAAACAAGAACGGGGAGCAATACATTCTCGTTCTGCAAAACGTGATGACGTTGAGCGACGCATTGCGCAATGCGCAGGGCAGATGCTGGTGGTGCCCTACGTCGCCACCATGCAGACCGATTTCTTCGCGACGTCAATTGCCGGCGAGTCCATCGAGTGCACCGGCCTGGCGCCAGGAGTCAAGCCGCCCCGGCCCTGCATAGAAGCCCACTCGGACGTCGTCGCGTGGTCCACGTGGTCCGGCTTCGTCACGAACGCCGTGGTGTCCGCGTTCATCAACCCCGCCTTGGGGACATGGAGCGACCTCTACGGACGGAAGCCCTTCCTCGTGCTCGGATTCGCTCTGCAGTTTCTGCCCTACGTGGCAGTGCTGCTGTACCTGGAGAACGTCATCCCGCTCTACTGGTGCGGCTGTGTAACGGCAATGGGAAGAGTTGGGGAAGATTTGGGGAAAATCAGGGAAGAAGAGGCTTCATGCGCTGTGTGTTCTGGCTCCAGTCCACTGCGTTGTCCACTGCGTTGTGCTGGAGCAGGGATCCGGCGTGCAGTTTTGGTGTTGTGTCGGTTTACATGGGGGTGAAAGCTGCCGTTCCGTGTGTTAGGCGATAGGTGGTGCAGTTTCAGGGCAGTGTTGTCAAGTTATGTGCATATATGGATGTACTTTGCAACTGTAGTGCGTGGTAATAAATACGCGGCGGCCATACAGTGCCTCAGTATACTCCCTGCACCAATGCAGGTGGTGCAATTGTGCATGAGCCAACACTTATTGAGGCATAATATATGCACAGGACTGAATATTTTAGCATTTCACTTTAGTACAAGATTCAGTACTTGGATTCAGTGCTTTGGTCCCGCACCCGCCTGCCAATGGCTGTTTTGTCATCTTTCTCGCCCCTCCTTGTGTCATTCGCCACTGGCCTTGCCTTTATGTCTTTGAACCTGCCGTGCGGAAGTTAAGTCTGCGGACATCAAACTCTGATGTGTAGTCGCTTGTGCATTCACATTGTCCAGTCCATGGTGGTGCTCCAAACCCTCACAACCCTACTTCCACACGCCACAAACACCGATCTGAACAAAAGGCTGGTGACCAAATGCAGCACACTGAGCACCACAATTTTGTGTTGATTTTCAATTGTGGAAAAAACATGCAGGAGGCTCCCAATGCAATGGGAATAGAACAGCAGAGCAGAGCCAAAAGCAAGAACTGAGAATCGACTTGTTCTCAGTGGTTCTCATTCGGCAGTGCAGCATAGTGTGTTCTGAAACTTGTGTGAATGGCTGGAAAGCATGTCCGAGGAAGCCTGAAATGTGACACATTTTCAGATTCAAGGGCCAGGACAGCCGATCTTTTCGCTTTTCTTGCATGCTCTGACACCACCCACCTGCGCACACATACTTCAGACGCTTCCAAAGAAATGTCTAAAGGTCGATGCATTCGCAGCAATGCACTACAGATCCACACATTGCCCTTTGATCACCTTTTGGATGCTTTCGTATCAATTGTCGGCACCAAGAAATGCACAAGAATGGGAAAGAAGCAAAAATCGAATTGGAAAATTGTGATAAAAATTAAGACGGAAACAATGGTTGCTTGGTACACAGGTTCTGGCCAGCTAGCGTCCTTGCTGCGGGTGTCAGCTCCTACACCCTTGCGCTGGCCTACTTCGGGGACGTCATCTCCATGCGGAACCGCACTGTGGTGTTCGGATTCTGGACGGGGACTTTCTACACAAGCTCCGTCCTGGGTTCCTTCATCAACGTATCAGGCCTGATCACGACGGCCGAAGGAGCGGTGGTGGTCACGCTCACCTCCATCGCTGCGGCCACAGCCCTCACCCTCTTCTGGATCCCTGAATCGTTGCCCTCAGCCACAAGGCTGGCAGCTCAACAGAGGGCCCACGAGTCAGGTGTCCTGGGCGGGAGGGGCCTGGTGGCATCTGTGAGGAAGCTGTTCCTGTCCGCCTGGACGTCCCTAAAGATACTGACGAGGAACAGTATGTTTGTCAAGCTTGCCATAACGGTGATGATCATCTTTGTAGTGCTGCAAGAGAGCATGGATTTCATGATCCAGTATCTGCAGGAGGTGGTGGGATTCAACACAATGGACCAATCCGTCCTGCTTGGGGTGCTGGGCGTGAGCGGCCTGTTTGCGCTGTACGTCGTCCTCTGGTTCCTGCTTGCGGTTGTCCGCCTGTCGGAGAAGTGGGTGCTGGTGATCGGCATCGTTTCGTTCGCCCTGGAGCAGATTGCCCTTGCGGCGGTGTACCAGAAGTGGCAGGCCTACGCAGCCGTTGTGGTGGGGTCGTTGGGCGGGCTGGCCTTCCCAGCCATACAGTCAATCAAGTCGATGTCGGTTGGGGAGGATGAGCAGGGGGCGATTCAGGGCGCCCTGGTGGGAGCCAGGTCGTTTGGCACTGGCATTGGCCCCCTGCTTTTCCTTGCTCTGTTCAACGCATTCAGGAGGGGCGGACTGTACTACCCAGGTAAATGCTATTAGATTGCCTTGCGCCAGAAATTTGACAGTGTCTGCGCATCCAGTTGGTGGTGCTGTCTTCTTGCTGAAATCGTTGTCTCTGGCAATTAGCCTCCGTTCGGTTCAGACTGAAGACAACAAAAGAAACTTCAGTTGCAGCTGGAAGGCTGAAAGAGGTGTGTATTCCCGTGCTGAACAGGAGCTCCCTTCATTGGGGCGCTGGTGCTCGAGCTCGTGGGGCTCGGCTGTGCCCTCACCATCAAGCTGCCGGCTTCGTTTGGAAAGCAACCTCAGAAAGGCTGTTCTGGAGATGTGGCGGCAGCCTCATCAAGCGGGCACCAGGAGAAGACGCCTCTGCTGGAAGACGTGTAGAATTGCACGACTGGTATAATGCTTCATTGCTTGCTAACTGGGTACCTCAGCCCATGTCAGGCCGGGCTCTGTCTCGCGGAGTTGATGGCTGGTTGGGAGGTGGAGTAGCGTTTAGGCCTGTAGCCTTATACGCCTCCCAAGGCTGTTATATTTCAGGCATCGACGCGCCTACAGCCGATGCTGTGCAGCACGGAAAAGTGCCATTCATGGCAGCTGTTGCCTCGCGCTACATTGTCATCAGCGTGGGAAATTATTGCTCTGGAATGGAAGGCTGCCTATTTTTTACTATTCTTGTATTTTTCTCTGAATACTGGCTTGTACTCGAATGCTTCCGAATGTACAGTGTTGTCTTCGGGATTTATCCCAGTACGAATTTTATTCCGGATATATTTCGGTTGTCGAAATGATTGAGAGGGCTTAAGGGCACTGAGCCTGGGTTCGAATTGCTGGATTGGACTCTTGCACTTCCAGTCAGCGTGACCTGAGGCATCCGCCAGCAATAAATAGTGAGTTGTGAACGAATGTGAACGTGCTGGGGGCAGTTCATTCTGTCGCAAGTTGTGCGTGTTTCATCTGGCGGTCTTGTGAGCGGCTGCAGGGGGCCTGTAACGATTTGTACATCACCTTCTGAAGGCACCATGTCGCCTGGTCCCGTTGGCAACGGGTTCAGGTGTTCTTCTTCCATTCGAACGCACTTCATCACTTTCTGTGGCCCATGTGCCAACCCCATCCTGACGTAAGGGATGTGGGCCGCTGGTGTGTCGGAACCAGCCCGCGTTCTCGCCAGGGCCCAACTGCCAGCGTGGGCTCTCCACACGGGCTGCACGGACGTCCAGCTGGCCCCCCAGATCGTTCCTGGCGCGAGAGGCGCGGTTCAGAGCCCGCCATTTGTGCCGGTGCGCTTTCGCTTTGCAAAATTTTCGCCGTTTGTCGCCATTTTTCCGCCGTTTTTTGGCCATTTTTGCCACTTTTTCTCCAATTTTTTACATTTTTACGCCAACTCACGCCAGCTTTGTTTTAAATCGGCAACGGGCCCCCCCTGCGCAGCTGGGCATCCTGCTGCGTTGCGCGACCTGCAAATTTGGCCGTGCACGGCCCTGGTTGCCATGGAGCCCGTCAACCATTCCGAAGCAGCCTCTCGCAGCCTCAACGGGCTGGAGTATTCCACGGATGCAATTTATTGCATTAACTGCTTCAACTAATTAATTAACCAATTGCATTAATACATAGGACATGACAAGGCACACAGCAACAAGGCCTTGCCGCCATTCGGCTGCAGCGACCGACAGAGCTAATCTGGTGACCAGATTCATGCTTGTGACCGCAACCTGCTTGCATCTACTTGCGCGTCGGCAGTTCGCTGCGTTCTAGCGAGAGCCCCACCTTGCGATGTGATCAACTGTGGCGCTTGGGGTGCCCATTGACCGACGTTTCGGCTTCTCCGATTGGACAATCTCCCCTGCCGAGATCGCTCGCAGTCCTAATTGAGTGCCAGTCAAACGCGCATGGCCGCTGCTGCAAGTTCCTTCCAAAGTGGCGCCTTCCCTTGGAGACCAGCGCGACGGGCAGCGACAGCCACAGCGCTTCGGCCGCTTCGGGCCTTGCGTCAAATCGAGCGACGCGCGGGCTGGCTGCGGGGCATTGAGCGCTGCCACTCCAAGGTGCGTTCCCGTGCCGAAAAGGTGGATTAATGAGACTGGGGTTTCTACAACATCAAATATATAGCAGGTAAAGGTAACACTATGCAATATATTTCATGCTGTTTCTTATTTTTCCAGTCCACCTCCATATACATAAATCATTACGCAATGAAAAAGAGGGGGCACTGCTTTGCTCGGGCAAAATAGGAAGCTGACGGCTATCTCACTGCCTTGTTCGGTATTAATGAATGATGATGATGATGATTAAAAAGAGGGAAACGGGAGGACGCCTGCTCCATTTAGCCCTGCTGGAAGGATGTAAAGCAGCAGGACGTAAAATACCCAAACCAGTTAAGGGCGTCGAGGGCGGAAAGCCGTGGAACAGGCACCGGCCAAGCGCCAAAACGCGATTCCCGGCCCACAGACGGTCCAGGCGGCATGCAGTTAGTCCCTCCGTGTATTCTGTGCAGATCCCATGTTGTTTCGGACGCTCTAAGCCCTAAACCACTGACCCGCTGAGCCATGTTCGCCTTGTCAGCGGAAGAAGAAGGGGCCCTCACGGAAAAGACAGAGGGACTAATATGTTCTCAGGTCCAGGGTGCCTCGGCAGCGTGTTGTGCTTGAAGGAAAGTTCTGCGTGTGAAGGGAAGTGGCGCGTAGGGAATGTGCCCCGCGGGGCATTACGTGGTCGCTGGTTGCGGGCAGTGGGGCGCACCGGGCTGAGTTGCGGCGAAACGGCGGGTGTGGCAGAAAGATTCCGGGTATCAAAAGAGCATCTCTTGGAATGGGGGGTATTTGCCAGAGCTTTGGCGGCTACAAGTACTGGGGGCGTGGCGAAAGCTGAAGGGGGTTCTGTATTGTTGCACTCGGCCTGGAAGCTGTAAGAACGGTTGCGCGGCGTTCACATGCGCCTCTCGCGGCGGTCTGGGCACTTAGCCTGGCTGCCTGACTCCCCTGGCCGCATGCGCAACGTTCGCCACGGCCTGAGCACAATAGCGCTCGACCTTTTCGAAGGTCGCGGCCAGTCTGTGCCTTTTCTGAGTCGCTTTCCTTGCCGTTCAAGACCAGCACTGCCAGCGCGGGCGTGCTGCTGGCCAAAAGTGACCAGCCTTCATCGCTGCACAGCTTCGCTGGAGCGGAAAGAGGCATTTTTCGTGTGTTGTATCGCTACGCTGTGGACAAGGCTGCCCTGACCCGTGGGGCTGACTTATGCCCTGACCTCGCTGAGGTTGGGAAGTGGCTGGGACCGGTTGTGGCCCTCTGGGGGGCAGTTGTGAGAGGTTGCACGCTTGACGCTCAATGGGATGTTTGCCGCTCGCCTGAAGCTTCCCTTGCCATCGCTGCTGTTTTTGTTGGTTGTCATCGCCGCGACAAGCAGTTCTTCGTGAAGAGCAGGTTCGCGCGAGTGGCGTAGCTCGTTCGTTGTGTGCACCCTCAACTGACGTGGTGCTGAGGCTGTCGACGCGGCTCAGCTGCTCGCTCAGGGGTGACTAGACTGCGCTATCTCCGGGGATGACGGCCAGAATGGACCGCCGTCCTTTACACCCCATTAATTGGCGACCCGAACACTGTCTTTTCCGAAGATTCTTCTTCTTCCGCTGACAAGGCCAACGCCGGTCAGTGGGTCAGTGGTTTTGGGGCTTAGGTTGTCCGAAACAAGAATGGATCATCACAAAAAAAGACAGAGCGACTAACTGCGTGGCCCACAGGACGCGTGTCCTCCACAGACGCCAGCAGCAGCCGTGGCAGCAGCGAAGGGAAAAAGAGCAGGTTTCACATCCAGGAGACTTCACACCTTCCCATGCGTATCCATTACAAATGCGGCACACGTGGAACAACAAGTCTCTGAGCAGGCCCGTGGCCTTCAAGGCAGCCCGATGCCAGTCCCCAGACCTCGTCCACGCTCAGCGCTTTTATCTCGCCAGAAAAGGTTGAACCTTTACACACGGCGTCCCTCGTGCACAGCTGACAGACCATTAGAGTCCGCTCTGAAAGTACAGTCACCCCGTTGCCAGCACCACACCTGCGCTCCGTAGCCCACAATACTCCGCAATTCCGCACAGCTCCAACGCAGCAGCGATCTGAAGTGCGTCAACAATTGCAGCCAATGCACATCTCAGCAACCCAGACTCAATATGCAGGCCGATTGCTGCGGTCTGCGTGCAGGTGCATGGGGAGCCAATTAAATAAACGGCGCAATGAAATTGTAGGTATGTTGCCCTCAGTTCGCCACCATTGGGTTCTGGACACCACTTCCAACCTGTCCCACAGGTCCAGACAATGTTTGCCACCAGGGGCCAGACCATCGACTTTCCCTCCCCTCCTGCACGCCTCTGAAGCACTCAAAACCAGTACCTTGCCTCCAGTACCAGGAGTTTTGCAAGGACCAACCAGTGGCAGCCTAATAGAGTGCTGGGCCATTGCTGACGACCCAGCTGTCCCAGTGCAGCACCACTTTGATACACAACAGCAGCCCACCCCCCAACCTCAGTCAGCAATCAAACCAGACTGCAGCTGCTACTCAACGCATTTCTGCAAGAAGCGCCCATAACAGGAATAGTAACTCCTGGTCCCAATCTCGATGGTTCCACAACGATCAACCAGAGTTGGACAAAGAGATCGCTGACCCTGCCTTACTGGCCCAGTGCAATTGACCCAGTTCTACCGACCCAGCGTGTTACCACTCCTGCGCACCTCTGCAGCATTCAAGCCACGGCCCCGCCATCGACCGTGTACCCAACATCGGCCCCACAGGTGGAAGGGCAGTGCCCTGCTATATTCGACAGATCCAATCACCAATAATATACGGGCCACCAGCCCACCAGCCCCAGCCAGCACCAATTGACTGCAGCTGGCATACTTCCCACCCAGGTCGCAACAGATCGCCCCCAGTCCTGCCTTGGCAGCATCCGCACCACAACCCTGCCACAAGTCCCTCCCGCAGGGCCCCACGTACGCAGACCTGCGCCTGCTGCAGTTGCGACAGTGCAAGCCAGATTCCAGCTCTGGTGGCCGTGCCCAGCCAGGTGCACCCGGCGACCGATCTCCAACCCAAGTAAAACACTCTTCCATAAGCACAAGATATACATCTTGTATATAACGTTCAAGGTTTGCGCCCACATACGGACACCCCGTCAAAATTTCTCAACAGACACGTGCACACAGCCCCCACCCCCCCACCACACTGTACGGCGCGCTCGCGCCCGTTTCACCCCTCTGTTGAGAATGGGGACCTCGACGGCGCCAGCCGTCGAGCTTGCATTATTTCCCGGAAACCAATTGGCGAAAAGAACCCCAAGCCCATAAAAAAATACCTCCGCGACTCACGATGGGCGGCTCCGCCCTGATCGCCGCCCCCTTCCACTGCCCCCTCAAGATCAGTCATCCCATTCGTAGTCCTCCGGGTAGGGGGGGATTGGCCAGTCCGCAAACAGCTCGCAAGGCCCCGACTTCGTGTACTTAGGCCCGCTGGGCTTGCCGCTGAACAGCCGCTTCCAGCTCTGGGCACTGAAAAGACCCCTCCGATCGTCATCATCCCACGAGGCCGTGGTCTGCAGGCCGGAGGACGGCGTTCCCAGCAGGTGGGCGCCGCCCTGGGGCGGGCTGCCCATGATGCGGGAGCCGATGCTCGTCAAGCTGGTCAGCGTCCTGAGCAAGGCGCCGATGATGGAGCCGCGGGGATCGGCGGCGCTCAGCGGCTCCGGGGCGTCGTCCTTCCCTGTGGGCGGGCAGCGAGGGAGGGTCAGGGTGCGCGCAAGAAGAAAGAAAACAGAGAAAAACAAAAAAGAAAAAGTATGAAAAAATGAATGCACGGTTAGAGTCTACACGAAAGATGAAAGAAAGAGAGTCAAGTGCGCTACGTGCAAAAACTGCGACTGCACGATCGGGCTGGAAATCGAGCGCGGTTCTGGCCGGCTGAGACAGCGCCGGCGCTGGGGCAACGCCACCTCGCGGACGGGCAGCCCGGACACAGAGCACCAAGGCGCGCAGGCACGAGGAAAAGGTCAATGGAAAAGGACAAGGAAAATGGATTTTGGGGGGCGCACGATCAGATTGCAAATCGACCGTGAACGAGACGACCTTAGGCCCGCCGCTGGGGTAGCACTCATGCTTTTCGCCGAGAGGCCCGGGGGATGCTTCGCGTCTTCGCTCGGTGTCCAGAAAAACGAGGGCCAGTGAGGCTGACCGGTTGAGACGCAGGCGCACTGCAGCCGCTGAGCGAGTTTGGCACTCAGACAATGCGGGCGATTCGAATCAGCGGCGGGGGCACCAGGCTTGATGGAAGGGTGTGACCTTAGGAGGGAGTCGCGAGGGATGGCGCCGTTCCAGCGGGTGGGCACAAGACGTCCTGGCCCCTGCGCCCTTGGAATTGGTGAAGGGGCCACAGAGGCGTCTCAGAAAGGGGCGCGTACGGGCGGGAGCCGATGCGGGTGGCATGGGCCCGGCCCGCGACCGGGGATGCCGCGACTGGCCGCGCTGCACGGCATTCTTGGCATTTTCGCCCCTCAGCAGCTGCGCAACGCGGCGGGCAGCGCGCTGGCTGTGCGCAGATGGCGCGGCGAACCAAGGCGTTGGCAGACTTGCCGGAAGGGAGCGCCGTCCCTTCTCGGGGTCGCCATCCCACAAAGGCCGCTTCCCCAACTTCCCCAGCGACGCTGCGCTCATCCCCCGATCGTCGTTGCCCTCCCCACTCCCGGCCCCCGCCTCCAGAAATCCAATCACGGAGTCCCTCACGGGGCGCTCCGTCGCCCTGCTCCCATCCCCAGATCATCAAGACCGAAGTTAAAAAATTCTACCAGCCGCGGGGGCCGTCAGTCGCCGGCCCACCCTCACCGTGCCACTTGTCCGCCCACATCCTCTCGAAGTCGCTGAACGCCTCGCGGAAGACGCCCGCCTCCACCGGGCGGCACCGGCCCCAGCCGCCCCGGTCCCTGACCTCGAACGGGCTGGGATGCATCATCGCCCCGCCAAAACCGTCTCCGCCAGAAAAACACCGCCCCCCGCCAGAGCTCCCGACGGTCCCGCAGCCGCATGCCTCGCCCAGGCACCGCATCCTCGGGCCTCCGATCTTCTCAGTCGCAGATCAGCGCAGCAGGTGGGACGGCGAGCCTTCTCTGCCCAAGGCCAGACCGGGGTGGACGTGAGGGTCAAGGCGCGAGCGCCTGCGGCCGCACGGCGCTAGCGCAGCGGCGGCGGCAGGCGATCAAGGGAGAGCCAATCAGCCAGCCCTGCACCAGTCGGCTGTTTGGGGGCGTCAGTCTGAGCGGCGAGGGCCCCGGGGCCCCAGGCGCTGCCAGTACTTGCGCCTCGAATCGGCCCCGTGATGGCCCCGTGACGCGGAGTCCCCCGATGCCACAGCCCACCACTTTGATACGTAAGATTTTTTGACGGTGGTGAGGACTCAGCGCCGTGATGCGCCCCCGTACGGCCGGTGGAAAGGAGATTTGGAAGGGGTGGGAGATGTTTGTGGTCAGTTTTCCCGAGCGCCGATGGTTTTGGGGACTCGAGGAGATCGATACGGCAGCGATTTGTACGGTCAGGCCGATCACCTCGCAGATGGCGATCTCAATCCGGGCAATCGGTGCACCACCGCGCCTCAGTCCTTGATTGACTCGTAACGGGGCAGATCGCCTGCCGCAGCCAACCCCCTTTGCTGGGACCGGCATGGCAGCACGTCCGACGCAGCACCCGCGCATGTTACATTAGTCCCGTCTTAGTCTCTGTCGTTGCGTGTGGATCACTTCTTCTTCCGCTGGCAAGGCCAACGCTGGTCAGTGGGTCAGCGGTTTGGGGTGTATGGAATACGATGGGATCCACACAGACAGAGCGACTAATCTCATACCCCATTGTGGAGCCTTGGCCTTGGACACTCCCGGGCATCAACCAAGGTCGCAGATCTCCACGGGAGCGCGGTCGTCCAGCGCAGCCACATGGTTTCCCATGTGGGACCGCCCGTAATTGGTGCGCAGAAGTGCTGTGGTGCGCCTGCGCTGTAAATTGCGACTGGCATGCCAGGCCGCACGGCGATGTCTTGGCGATGTCTATTGGTGTTGGCTGGAGCGGTGCTCAAGGGGCCAGGTGGTTTGGTAGAGCAGTGGGACATCCCATCAGGAATACCATTTTTTTTTTGGGTGTGGCAAAGCCCTCGGCGACGGCGGCGGCGGAGTGAAGGGTCCGTCGGTTCCTTTCTTGTCTCTTGGCTCTCTAGTGCTGAGCTTGCCTTCGGCCAGGTGCGGACGCAGTTGGGGGCGGGGTGCCTTCCTTTAACTGGGACATAGCTACCACGCGAGGGAAACAAGCTAAGTGAGGGAAAAAATGGAGACTCAGCAAACGCATCAAATGGCAACACGACTCGGGGTCGACTTTCGTTACACAGGGAGGCCAGCTGCCAGCAGAATCGAACCTGGGGGCTGCGTCCACCACCCGCTGCCCCCCGCTATGAGCCCATTTTGCACTGCATTCGTCAGCAACAGGCGTCACCCTCATGACACATGTTCAACAGGTGCCCATTCGCCTCCTGGACGCATCAGCAATTCAGCAACAGCGAGATTGACTTCCAGCACAGGTCCTTCCATCCGCACCCAGCAAAAGCACATCCTTGCATGCAGGCAAGGCGACGTGCGAAGCACTGCTGCCCACCATGCAGGGCACAGCCTGCATGCCTCAGCTCAACCAGCCACCGACACCCTGACAAAAAATTCAGCTGGTATCCAGCAGTTCTCGATCTACCTCGCTGCACAAGTCTGACTTGCTGTGAGCTGAAAGGCGTCCAGAAAGCCTCCAGGGGCTCCTGCCCACGCCTTGTTTGAACAATTCAGCCATGCACATGTCTGCAATTTCACCCGAGATAAAGTGGGGCTGCCAGCACAGAAACGCCAGTGCTCAAAATTGGCACAAACCAAAGCCTGCCACACAATGGCTGGCCACACCAGCAACCAAGTGCACACGACGGTGTTTGCACAACAATGATGCTCTGAGCATTTGCAATGGCCAGCCCGGAGCATGGATAAATTGGTGCAACAGAGAACTATGGGAGAAACTCACTCATACTGGCCAGAGCCAGAACGAACCTCCAAGTGCACCGCCACAGCAACAGCCAAGAACAAAACGCTTTCTGCACAGTCAATACCGCAGCCCACACTCTCACCATGAACCAGGGAACAACGCCTTGGACAATAACGACCATCCACTGTGGCAACACCAGAAAAGCACCTGACATCTTAGATCCTTCGTGACGATATGAAGACGGTAGAAAACGCCCATGAGGGCTGTACAACATTGCGTGATGCAGCAGCGCGGAAAGCAAACTGACCAAAATATAACTTCAAGCCTGCCTCAACACATGCTGCAAACAAGAAGTGCCTTCACAATCTCAATTGCCAGACACAATACCTTTAGGTCAACCACAGCAGTTGCACAAGGGCATTGTGCCTGACTGGTACCTTGGCCGGCAGGATATTCAAACCATTCCTCGCTGACAGAAATGTACCGTTCACCACAGCCAAAAACTGCAGTCGAAAATCTCTGCCACTCAAAAACTCTCCACCTTGCCACCTTGCTCCACTCTTACACATAGCCCTACTTCATTCAAGAGTTTCGCACAAATCTCGACGCTACAGTTACAGGAGACCTCCACAACCAGCCTTGCCGCCCAGGGCACACCATGGGGCCCAAGGCTTTAAAGGCTGCCGCTGCGAAGGAGGTCACAATAGTCATAGGCGTCCATGCCCATCACTTTCACAGACTTCGCCTTTGACCTGATGGGGACGTGCGCTGCCGCGGCGGCGGCTGCTGCTGCTGCATCTTTTGGGAGGAGCATGCCTTCAATTGTCCGCGATCCAGTCAACTCTGCATGACAGCAAAGCGTCAGTGGCAAGTCAGAGCAGACGAAGTTTGATCGATGGTGCAAGCACAGTGGGCCCTGCAGCGATGCAAAGAACATATGTATCATCACAGCATTGTAAGAAAAGTGACACACCAGTAATGGCACATGTCTATCGAATTCGGATGATCAGACAGCATCAATATGCGCGGGTGCATTCGCAAAGACAAGCATGAGCAGCTTGGGACAGCAATCTGTAGATGCATGCATTGATTGCTCTGCACAGCCCTAACATAGGTACAAGAGTACACCTTGCCAATGCCAACGAATGCTGCCAAGGGATTTGCATATGGGTGTGAAAACCGTGCCACGAATGACATTTGGTGGCATCTCAGGCATTGGCACACCAGATGGCAGCACTATTTGCTTCACTGTTTGAGGAGACCATCACAACCAAGCAACCGAATCGCAGTCACCATGGTGCCTATCCACTGTGATTGCCATTGTGACAAGCGTTCTACAGTGGTTCATTCCAGTCACTGTTGAGTACCCTTCCTCAAGCACTATTGTGCGCAACAGATTGGGTGTGCGGCAGTCAAAACATCGCTGGAGAGGCGTTGGGGTAGTTCCAAACTATTCAATTAGGCACATTCAGATACTCTTGTGGAAGCGAGCTACTTCTGGTTGGAAAGCTCCTTGCGTTTCTGCATGCTTTTCTCTCTTAGAACACTATCTTGCCTTGCAATGTATCATGGCACGTCTAGCGAACAAGGCTACCAGGGCACTTGCATGTGCTAAACAAGAAATGCAGTGCTAAGGCAGTCCCACAGCAAAACACAACAAAACGAAGTTGCGTGGAAGGCAAGATTAGGCACTGACAGCTTGAAAACAAATTGGAACCACAGCAACTGTGTCAGGGACGAGCGATAGTTCTAGCCCACATTTTGACAATTGAAGCTGCTGCAGGGTGTGCCTTTTGAAGCACCGCACATTACACTTTTCTGCAACTGACATCAATCTGGCGATCCAGCAACCCTCAGTCCAGGGTTTTTAAACATTGTCTATCAAAGAAACCCAAATGTGAACAGTGTGGCCAACTACGTTCTTGACTCTTTCTGCTTACACATCAATTCACCTCCATCATCTTCTTATGCAACACTTGCTTAACATTCTTCAATTATATTTCAATGAGTCAATGTTGATCATTATCAGCTGCATCGACTTCACATTCTCTCTTCCATGCCCAATGAACTGTGTGTGGCGGGCTGCTAGTGCAACTAGAAAAGCGCATGGCAACCAGCGCTGAAGCCACTGCAGGTGAACGCACCGTTGCACTGGGCACCCTGAGGCTGGTCAAGCGCCTTCGTGCCCCCAGGGCCAGCGAACACCGACTTGTACTCCTCCTCAGCTGTGCCAAAAACAGGCAAACGTCGAATCAGCAACTCGCTGCAACCTGGGATGTTACCAAACAGCGAGATGGCCCATGAACGCTATATGAGGATCGCAGCTTTCACACAGTTGAACCAAACCACATGAATCTGGGCTGCGGCGTTTGAGCAAATCGCGATTTGTGACATTCGGTGTGCAGCCACAACGCCCAACACAACCTTGCACTGGGACTTGTCACCTCTGCCAAAATTGATACCACACGCCCTATCAGCTGATGGTGGTCTCCCGACGCCCAGCGCACCAGCCACAGTTCGCTTCCCGTTAACTGTTGCCCACTCCAGAGGACCGCAAGCAAAGACAACAAACCCGCCACAACACCGAATTGGTCCGCCGAAGGGCCGAGAGGGGTTTGTGCAGCCATGGATTCTGGCGGCGGCTCCTGTTGAGCCACAGTGCGGCATTTTCCGCCGCCCTCCACGGCGACCCCCAACCGCGGGTCCGGCACAGCGCCCGCCGGGCGCCCCTACGCACCAACGGGGCCGTTCCCGCACAGACAAGGGAATGGACAAATGGGGACGAACAAACGATTCGGATGGCGGCATGCCAGTCGGCAAGGCGCCGGCATTGGCAGTGTCTCGCGCAGGCGAAAGGAACAAAAGGCTACCGGAGAAGTCCGTCGGCGGCAATGCGACAGGGCGGAGGCGGTCCTGGACTGTGACGAGATTGGCGTGCCTCCCCGAGAGCGAAGCAGGCGACATCCCCCCCCACCCCCCTTCCCCCCCGGTTTTCCAATGCTGTCCGCCAGAGCGACAAACGGCGCCGCAAACGCCTCCCAAATGCCGTGACAAATGTCACCACGCGATCGACGAGGCGGGCCGCCGGCGAGGGCGCTCGCCGCGCAAAACCGAGCACAGCGCGGCGCCCCGAGGCCGAGCCCGACTGCCCAACCTGGGCGGGCAACGAATCGCCCCGCCCAGGGAGTTGGATGGACCGCGGACCGCCGCGCGTCCGGCCGGTTCGGTCGCCCCTCCGACGCGCCTCCGCCCCGCGACTGCGCCCCGATGCCCCCGCCTCTCGCCCGCCGCGCCGCCCGCCCGCCCGCCGCCCCCCTCGGTCACACTCCGCCGCGAGGCCGGCGATCCCCGCCATCCACTTCCCCTTCCCCCCTCCCGGCCTCCCGCTCTCCAAACGCGCAAAAGATCAAACGCGGCTGCCGGTGAGAACGCTCCCAGCCCACCGTCCAGCTAAGACAAGCACCGCTAGGGCGATGGCGGGGGGCATGTAAGCCCCAGGAACGGCGCCCTGGGCTGCCAAACGCCCGTCGAGAAGGCCTGTCTCCAGCCTCGATTGCACGCAAAGTCGAAGAGGAGTGAAGGCAAAGTCGAACAGAAGCGCCCCCCCCCCCACACCCCTCCCACCCGGGGCCCATCCCGATCCTCACCGTGTCCTCGCGCACGCTGAGGCTGGAAATGTTGAAGCTGGCGAGGCGGGATAGGCGCGGGCTGGCGTGCGGCGGCCCCGCGGCGCCGACCCCGGCCATGCCGGCCCCCGCCGCTGCGGCGCTCGGGGCCCCGGGATCGCTGTCCTGGCGAGCCTGCCCACGAGCGACGATATCCCCGCAGCTTCGAGGCCCGGGCTCAGAACAAATTCTGGCGCCTTTTGGGCTCAGGCGATCGGAGACGGACGGGGGGGGGGGGGCAGGTTTGCGTCCTCCGCGCCGCGCGTGGTGGCTCGCGCCGCAGAGAGAGGCTCACATGCCCCGAGGGTGGGTGTGGGGGCGGGGTGCGGGGTGATGCGGGAAGAGAGTTTGGTGCCCAGGAAGGTGGGGTGGCAGACGTTTGTGGCGGCGTGCAGGGTGGAAGGGGAGGAGCGAATCGGGGCCGCGTGGATCTGGTCTTGGGGGGTGACGTGTATCGACTGGTGTTCGCGGCCGGCCATGCCGGTACGGTACCGTACCGGTGCGGTGTTCTCGCGAGGGGTGACCGCGGCCGAGCGTTGCGGTCTTGTTTTCGCCGCGGTCGGTCGGCTCTGGCTGCGTGGCACGGTGCGGCTGTCCTCCGCCCGTGGCCTCAAGGCGGGGGGGACACCAATGCTCGAACATCTCCTCGGGATACGGGGGAGATCAACAAACACACCTCCCATTGGGGATTGTAGCCGAATTAGCGTGACGCTCGGGGCTGACGATGAAATAATATTACTGCCTGCACCAAATCGGTGACTGCTTGCACCAAGTCACGTGCACACTTTGTCCTAACCTCAGTTTTAGGGTTAGGTTTAGTTCAGGGTGAGTTTTAGGGTTAGGGTTAGGGTTAGGACAGGTTTAGGTTTAGGGTTTAGGGTTTAGGTTTTAGGTTAGGTTAGTTTTGACGGAGTTGGACATGATGTGCACGTGACTTGGTGCAAGAAGTCACCGTTTTCGTGCAAGCAGTCACCGATTTGATGCAGGGAGTAATTTTATGCCGCTGGCGATCATGTCCTGATCCTTTGCACAATGCTTGATGCCGCATGTCCTCTCGCCACGTCAATCAGAATGATGCTAAAACAACCACTTTCAGCATGATGGCCTTCTAGAGATTTTACACCTCGATTCGTCTATGTGCGCTGCGATATTCAGCACTATCGTATGATTTCAACTCGCAATTGCTGGTCTGGGATGGCCAACTGTTGCTGCCGGTGACGCGTGCTGTATTTCACAGTGCATCGTGCGCAGTGGTCATTGTTGTGGACAGTTCGGGTGGCAGGAGTTTTGATTCATTGGTTCATTTGAAATGCAAACCACCCACCAACCGGCTGACTGATCGCTTGTCCAGGCAGTCGCGATGTGTCGACTGGACATGTGATGGGCCGACCTGGCTGGTTGGAGCAAACCTTCCAAGGCCGGAGGATCGTGCTCCAGAGCATGCCTGTAGCGACGCCAACGGCGACGTCTCCGCCTTCCAAACGCAGTTCTGCAGTGCAAACAATTAAATGGCCACACCAAAACAATCCCTGCTCCACACCCTGCCGCACGCCGCTGCAGACACCTCCAGTTTCTGCCCAAGTGCCGCGGCCCTCCCTACAGCCTCTTCTCCACGGGCCCACCAGTAAACTGATCGCCAGCGCGGAAACCCTGCCCATCGTCACAGTGGTCGGCCTTCATTGTTGATACATATAAGTAATGGCCGACCCGGTTGATGCTACTGACATTCTGCAAGCGTAACTCTTCTCAAACGTCCTCGCCACCTGGGCGTCAGCCCTCCACTCCTATCTCAGGAACGAACAGGAAACCTACATATTGTGGTAGATACGATTCTCCGTAGGCACAAGTGGCCGCCAGCCCCCGCACACAATCCCACAATCACCACCACCATCCATCCCCCCCAACCCACACATACACAATCGTCCCCCCAGGCCGTACGTAGTTAACTAATTCAGCGTTGTGGCGTATCGTCTTATCTATCGATGGCACAATCTCACCACGCATTCAAGGGCAAGCCACCCGCTTCGTCGCTCCATGAATTCATCTGTTTACGCAGCGCGCCTGCCGCTGCGTCCACTGACCACTGTCCAACCCACTGGTCCGCTCTCGCCAATAACAGCAACTCACTTAAGATTACGTTCAACATCGCGTTGTTCAATCCTCTCCTGCAGGACAGTCACAGCTTCTGCGAGCTGCCGCCTCACCATGTCGTCTACGCCCCCAATGTCGTTTTTGATCTCCTTCATCGTAGCGGCCATGTCACCACACTTCTCGTCGAGGGCTCGCCTGGAAGACGGACTACCCGTGAGCGACATAGCAGCAAAATTGACACAAGCTGCGTTGGTGGGTGCCCCAGGCAATGGGCTGCCCATTTCACACCACCTCTGTCCCACAGTGAACATTTTCTTCCTTTCTAACTCTACATTCCAAGTGCTACATCACATGTAAGTAATCTAAAGTGTTTTTACTGTGCTTAAGTGCTGATAATGAGCAATGAAGGGCCATTCGAGCTGCACCTTTGCTGTGATCCAAATTTTGTAAAATATATATAATTACTGTCCATGTGCAACCTGCAAGGTGCTCTTCAGGTCAAGACTGCAAGGACATTGCGAAACTCACTTGAACCGCTGCTCCAGCTCCGCGATTCTTCCCGACCAATGCGTGTGTTTATTCTCGAGCTCGATACTCCCTTCCTGTGGTTCTATGACATGCAGGAAGCGTGAAATCTGGCACCTGGTCATGGAGAAGTGCAAAAGCAGTCATTACCAATGCTAGTGCATGTACATGACTGGCATATTGACATCGCCCAGCACGTGACAGGTGTTAACTTGTCCTGCACAATTCCTGGCCCTCCAGATGGGTGTGTACACCCTTTTCTGCTTTCCCCATTGTCTTTTCAGGGTTGCACTGCCATAGTCATGCAGATCCCTTTGTAGACACATGCAGATTGTCTCCACTAAGTGATGCACGCCTCGATATGCAAGCTGTTGTTGGGCTAGACCTGTTAGGCGTCAAGACAGTGGCAGCAGCTAGCAGCATCCAAACACCCTAAAGCATGGAATGGAATTCCCACAAGATGTTCTAAACAAGTGCCACACAAGTGGGAACCGTTCTGTGTAACACAATGACAGAAAATGTAGGTTTCGTTGCACACATATGTTGTAACGTCCTGCGTGCAATGTATGCCAGTTATGCGGCAATGCACTGGCTGCATCCAGGCCACTCACTCGATCTTTGCCTTCGTCCCAAGGCATGAAGACAGGCTGCTCTCGATACCGTCGATGACAGCGGCCCTGGCCTTCATGGAGGATACCTCCTGATGGCCCTTTACCCTGCAATACAGCAGAGATGGCCTTAGAATGCACAGGAAGGTCCTGCACCATCGCAGGATAATGTGCACAACATTGCCACAAACCAAGCACAAATATCCGAGTCCTTTATTTCTGGACATGAAGTCAAGAAGGTCATGAAGGTCAAGAATATCATCAAGGTCGTGAAGGTCATCAAGTCATGCAGTCATGACAACCATGCAGTTCGTTTTCAGGCTCAGATCGTTCAGGTTTTTTATGGCTTTAGGTCCCTAATGCCCTTCATGACCTTCATATGGGGGTACTGATAGGTATAGGACAATCTCCAAGCCAAAAGAGACAGCGGCCTGTAATGTGCATTGACACCGTGCTTACCTGTCATGGGTATCGGTCATCAAGGCGATGAGCAAGTTGAGCAACACGATAATCATGGTCGTCATGTACACCACGAATATCGTCAAAGTGATGACATAAGATGGCGTCTCGTAGAAAATGGGCATGTTAAACTCTCCCAACATCATTCCAAAGGTTGTCAGTAGGGATCTGCTGAATGTCCCAAACGACTCCCAGATCTCCTCATTGCTCACATCGTGCCGGAACGAGATGAAGAATGTCGTGGCAAAGCCAAACACTAGGGCCGCAAGCAACCCCATGTAAATGACTAGGTCCTTCAGGACCTCGAAAATCATGATCACCACGGGGCCGATGCCCCTGCAGGCCTGTGCAAAGTACAGCATCCTGCACCACAACACCAGCAGGGTGATGGCAGCAAGCCACGACTCCCCCTCGCCCAGTTTCTCATATGTAGCGGCAAAGTGCACGGCCGGAAGCACAAGCGCTGTCACCATGGATGACAAGAGGTCTAGGACGTTCCAGCCTGAAGAGAACCAGTACCACAGGCCACTGAACCCATGTCGCTGTCCGTCCAACAACAGCGTGTATATCTGATTCACTTTCCAAAACAGGTTTGTGAAACCCAAGCCAGAACACAGCAGCACACAGATCGCCTGGAAGCCCCCATTGGCATCCCCGATCACGTCGCCAAAGCCCTCGGGCTCCCTATTCTTGTGCCCCAGCAGGATGGTGTAGATAGTGAACAGCAACACATACACCAAATAGATGCACAACTCCCGGGTGAAGAGCCTGTGGGCATATGTCTGCCACTTGTACTGCACGACGGCGTGCACCAGCTTGGAATCAAAAACCTTGTCCGGGATCGTCTTTGACACGAGGAGGGGCCTCAGCAGGCCCCGCATCCCAACCTGGCAGCAGTCGGGGTATGGAAAAACCTTGGCAACGGTCGGGACCTCGAACTTCCCAGCGGTCAGCTCTGTGGGCTTGTGGAGGTGGCCCCAGAGGTGCTGAAGGGAGTGCACAGGGGTGGAAAACACGTTGGAAGTCGCCACCACAGAGGAGCTGTGCTGGAACACATCTTCCGGAACGTGCAGCACACCGATGGCCGTTGGCATGCCATCGGCAGTGATTGCGTCCACCACAAGGGATGGCATGGCTCGGCCGAGGGGGACCAAGTACTTGTGCAGAAACTTGGCCATCGCCGTGCTAGACAGCACACGTGAAGTCATCGTCCTGATCACCATTTTTGCGATTTCTGTGGAGTGTTGTTCGAAGGCGATTTCCAAGGCACTCCTGATTGGTATGCCGGCCACCTCATCAGGGTTCAGTGTCAGGGACACCAGAGTGTGTTGCTCTTCTGCATAGTCCAAGGCAGCTCTGACGAACTCAACATTCTTGTCCACAATAGCATGCATGAAGAAAGACATGCCATTGGCATCTGGGACGTTCAGCACGCTGGGGCCATGCTTCCTGAGAATGCTGGCTATGCTCTTCTCCCTGCGCAAGAAATCTCCACAGCAGAGGGAATGGTACTCTGGAATGCAGCCCTTCCTGGCATATGGGGTCCAAATCACAACCCTCGTCCCATCGCCAGCACATGCGACGCGTCTGCCATGGGGGGAAATAGCGATCTTCTCTGGACATCTCACAGCACGGGTCTCCAAGCCCTTGCGCTCACCAGCCCCAAACAGCCGCATTATCACCAGCTTTGTCTTTCGCAGATTCGGGTTGTCCATCTGCCAGTGCTGTGGAAAATCGCCATCAAAGCATGTTGGCACATCGTCAACCACCATCCACGAGTTGTCACCAGATATCGCCATGTGTTCTGCCACTCTGTGCAGGCCTTCCGTGCTGCATTTGCCAGCCTCTGGCCACTGCAGCACTGGCTTCATCGACTTTGCATCCCACCCAACGACAGCAAAACTCCCATCGTGTGCAATGTTACTCGGGTACGGCGCCAAACCATCTGGGGGGCAATCAAACGAAGAGATCCGCGACTGCTTCGACCTGTCGATCAGGTCGATCACTATAACCACATCCTTGTCCCCTGGAATAATGGCAGCCATGGACCCATCCGGCTTGAACATGCAGGCTCTGCAGTATTTGGGCCCAACCATCTCAAACCGGGCAACTTCCAAACATTTCTGTGTGTCCAGCCATACCAGGGACCCATTGTCTTCACAGACCACCACAGTTTCATTGCCCTGCTCATCACGAGAGAAAACCATCCCCTTGGCAGGATCTGGCGAGGCAGATTTGAGAACTCCAAGTTCCGCCTTCCGGCTGAAAATTCCGCTGGGCACCGCAACATCCACAAACAAGTCCCAAATCAGCACTCTCCTGTCGAACATGACTGTTGCCAATCGTTTGCTGTCCTGTGAGAATGCAAACAGTCGAAACTGGGACCTCGGCACCCCTGTTTCTGCCAGGCAAATCGTATCGCCACTCTTGAAATCTAGCACATACATTGCAGACACATGTTTCCTGATGACTGCCAGTCTGTTTTCGTCAGGAGAAAATCCAAGTTCGATGATGGGGCCACCGGGCTGTGGCACAGACTGGCTCCCCTTCTTCATCATGTTCGCTTTGTTCATTTGCAACGACTTCAAAGGCTTTGAAGACTGACTGTTGGCCACCTCTTGGGGCAACGTGAACACAGCCATGGAACTCTGCCTGTGCAGGGCGGCCGTCAGAGACTCGGAGTTCCACACCAGCCCATTCTTGTTCCTCGTCCCAAACATGGCAAATCTGCAGTCCCTGCCCCCAAAGACTATGAAACGCTGCTCAGCCAGATCCTTTGGTAGGGTTATATCTACTACCTTCAGGCCCTGTGCAAGGTCAACGACATACCCCTTGTTTGCTGTGCCCACATACAGTGCCAACCAATGCCGATTGGGTGACATCGCCACTCCCTGAAACCCCTCTGCCACTTTGTCACCCCACAAACTGAGTCCCATTTTTGGCCGGACACCCAAACTCACTGTGCAGCCCGGCGTCCCTGCGCTGTCCACATCCCAGATAACTACTTCGACGTCCACACCAACACTGCAAACAGCGACCCTTGAAGCATCGATGAAACGGGCCCACAGCACGCGCTTGTCATCATCCGCACTGCCCACCATGGTGTAGCTCCCACCTTCTCTTAGGCTGGGCCGATATCGTGGACTCCACTCCGGGTGCCCAGGGAAAAGTTCAACCAGCGGGTGCCCAGCTCTCTGCCCATCTTCTTTCTGGCTGTCTTGCGTGATCTGCGTCTGAGCCTCAAGAGCCCTGACTTTCCACACGAAGCAACGCCCAGTGTACTTCTCTGGTGCACCCTTCTCTGCCTGCAAAAAGGGGTCCCATGTGACAACCAGCGCCCCATCTGGAGACCAGCTGCCCATCGAGCCGCTCAACAGAAAGCTCTTTGTTGGAATGTTCCAGTTTGGCCACAGCACCATACTGCCGGGCACGCTGCGCTTCTCACCATACACCCCTGCCAGTGCCCCCTTGCCGCTGTCTGAAAACTCAACCCCACGCAGGGCACTTGGCTGGCCCGGCTTCCAAACCACAGTGAGCCTGACTCGCTGTTCAGGCCAGTCCTCATCCTCATCAAGGCCAGACATTGTGAAGACATCAAGAAACGCTGTGCGCAGGTTCTCTTGCTTGACAGCCACTGGTTTCTGAATCTTCTTGGTACTGCTCATGCTCTTCTGCTCGCTGATGAGATGGTAATGCCAGTGTGTGTTCCACATGACGCCCATCAGTGCCCCGCCTTGCACGATTGTGGCATAGGAATCTTCGACGTCGATGTGCCCCGCAGCACAGTGGTCCCTCACACATTCACTCTTGATGGGCGCTTGTTCATTCTCGATGTCCCATCGAAGGCACACAAACGACTTATCTATGGACACCACGACTGTATTTGACTCTTCCATGAAGCTGCAGGAGATGACCTGCAAGGGAGGGGCAAACAAGCTTTCAGGCAACTCCAATCTTTAGCATCGTCTTGGAGTCTTGAACATACTCACAAAGTGTTCCAAAAGTTAGAGTTCATGCCACCATTTTCAGACAATGCAGTGAAGCAGCACACATAACCCTTCAACGACTAGCACGTGCCTGTTGTATGGGGATGCCCATTGTATGGCCAGTTTACCTTTCTTTGACAGTCAGTCACAATATGCTGGACAACAACTTCTGCTGAACACATCTGCGCTGCAACAGCATGTTTTGCTGGCCACCTTCCTGTCCTCTGGCACACAGCTTTCGCCCCATTAACAGTTGATGCTGGGCACTGACTTGCAGGTGTGTCATGGAATGATGATCCCCAACTGCAATGATCGACGATCGGGCAATAAGTCAAACACGCAGAATAGGTTTGGGCCATTTTAAGTTCTTGATCATGGGAAACGAAGGATTCCCAGAGCACGTGGAAATTCTCACCGAGTCTGAGTGTCCCTCATCTGTCACTGCCGCAATGAGGTTGCCAAGTTGCGCATCCCACACACACAATGACCCACACCTAAACCCTGTCACGATCCTTGTGCCATCGCTGGAGAACGCTGAGCACATGATCGCTGCTGGATCATTCTCAGTGGGCCAGGCAAGGACCTTGTTCATCGACAATCCCCTGGATTCCTCATAGTCATCATCAGCATAGTCAGCATGGCTGTCCCTTGCCGTGCTTAGTGCCTCTGTATCGTCCACCGGTTGCGTCGTGTTTCCAGGCAGCTCCAGGAGGGTGACAGGAAGGCCGCTGATGACCCGGTAGTCATCGTAGAAAGACAAAGGGCTGTCGATGAGAGGCGTGCAACCTGCCAATTCCAAGCATCTGCTCAGCCATTCAACAGCAATATGGGTGTTTTGCTTGATGCCAGTCACAGGAGTGCAATTGCACAGACCTCACTTAGGAGGGGGTATCCATTGTGTAATCCATGTGCTTTCTGTTGAAGGTGAATATGGAGACTCAAGAAGAAGAGAAGGGGGGAAAGAGGGAACGGGAACGCGAAGGGAGACCATAGGGGTGGTTACTGCAAGCCTTGTCTGTGGCCCAGATGCTGGACCAAAAAGGCAATCCTAAGCATGATACAAGAGCAGCAAGAATAGCATAGGGACAATGGGAGTGATATAAGATGGACAAAGAGAGAAATAGTAAATCAAGATCATGTAAGAGTGATACAAATGGATATGAACAACAGCGGCATGTTCATGCAGGGGTGGCACCTTGGCCTGTGAATGACAACAGGAAACAAACCAGCATTGACACCAACCCGTTGAAGAAACAAGGGAGAGTTGCGCAGTGAGTGATCTGCTTGGCACCAATAAACAGCAAGCTGGAATCCTATTTGCACTGTGGACGACTCCGCTACACTGTAGGATCATGTACACAATACACGAGTAGGATCCCACAATGCCTCTTTGTTGCCCTGCCATGGAATCCTACCAAGGAATACGCATCATAAGAGACAACTGCTAGATTGCGTGAGATTCACACGACGATGCTCAGTCGCCATCATTCAATGTGCGCAACCTAGACTTGGCGATGCTCTGATCCAGGCATGAGAGTGGAGAACACTGGCATCATTGCACAAATCAGCTTCCAAGGCTCTGACACATTGGAGGATTACTGGTATGGGACAGAGACACTCTTTAGTGCCGATGCTTGACATAACAAGGGCAAAGCCCAAAATACAGACTCGATATAGGCACAGCACGTTGCTTGCTGCATCTTGGATGGAGACAATTTCAACAGTCATCATCCACTGTGTGATTATCTCAGAACCCTCTCTACTCCTCATCCACTCTCCCAAACTACTCATCTCCAACCAATGGAATACTCCGTGCAACATCACTAAAGGCCTCTCCAAGCTCCAAGAGAAGGGGCCTGTGTGCTGTACCTATGGCAGATAGCAGCAGGCATCACCTTAGGACAATCACGTCACTGAGGCCCTCCAGACTGGACACAGGACTTCTCACATGTTGTGTAGTCTGCCCTGCTGTGGGTAAATAGGCAAACACTCACCAGATGCAGCCATTGCAGTCTTCTCCAGCTTGGCACTTGATGTGCAAGGGTGAACACTGCGAGATTTGCCTGCATAGGAAGCTTTGTCCATCATGTGTAAATATCAGTGCCAATGTCCTGAAGCAGACCTGCCATCAAAGCACACAGAAGTGCCGATCAGGACTAGGGATTGAGCTTGCTGTGCACAAACGGCATGTTGAGGATGCGAGCAAGCACCAACACCGATTCCATGCCTACCGAGCTGTGAAAACACGTTTCTGGCAATGCTAAGCTGATACATCACCCAACAACGCTATGCCACATTGCGCAATGCCTACGGTATTGGCACTGAAAGCAAATATCACAAGTTATCATCAGCCGATTCTTCCCCAATCCCTTACAAAATGTTGCCTTGCTGCAGATGCTGGCTTTTGTCAACCACGAATCCCCTGCACACTGACAATCAAACAAAATGGGTTTATGTGGGTGTACACGATCTCCCCATAACATGCCGGATTCCCAACAGACTGCTGTCTTCTAACAATTACTGATATGGAACTGCTTGTGGTGACTTCAGCGACCTACGCAAACGCTTGGCTACAATTCATTGTAAAGCTGAAGCTTAGAGCTACAATGCCATTCATTGCCGCAGTGGCATCTTGGCATATTTTGCAATCCCCAGGGAGCAGTATCAATGCAGACTTGGTCTGACTCTCGTCTTCTTGTGCAGTCGTTAATGCCCAACGGTGGAATAGGCCTTCAGGACTGCCAAACTAGTCGGTGGGGGTCTCATGGCTTAAATTTCTGATCACTGCAATGTTCTGATGATCTAGGATCATCAACTTTGGAAGTCTGGGGTGCTGCAAACTCCAAATCGGGTTTCCGACAGGACTGCCGAACTAGTCGGTGGGGTCTCATGGCTTAAATTTCTGATCACTGAAATGTGCTGATGATCTAGGATCATGAACTTTGGAAGTCTGGGGTGCTGCAAACTCCAAATCGGGTTTCCGAGCAGCCTCGAACCCAAGGCGTTGGATCCCCTTTGCCCTAAAGGAACGCACTCACATAACGGTACATTGGCACGTAATATACAAAACACAACAACTAATTCAATAATAGAATACAATAAAAAACTACCACAGTGCTGCAATAGTGCTGTAGCATAGATAACATTTGTCGGCATAACTAAAGGCGTCCAAAGATATATCGCCCATATCAGCCGAGGTTGAAAGGAGAGGACCCAGAACTATACAAGACAAACGATTGCACAAGCGCTGGGGACATTAGCACAGAAGGGCGGCGCAGAGCAACACCATAACATCCCGATTCAAGTGCAACAGCAACTGCACAGCGCTGTCCATTTCAGCAGTCTCCTGAGTACAGACCAGAGCAAGCAAAGTTTGAACAAACCAGATTTCAACAAACTATAACTATGAATATGAAACTACAAAGTACTAACCATGAGGCTAGTACTCGGATGCATCCGGTCTGTGTTCTTTTGGCGCATGTCAGGCGTGCCAGTGCATTGTCGCCCCGCCCACCCGCAGTCGACGGCCACACAACGCCCTGAGCCCCGTGATTCGGACGCCGCACCCCCCACGGGCGCCGCGCCCCACAGGCGGGGCCTCTCACCGCCGCGCAAGGCGTCCCACAGGAAAAGCGCAATGCCAGCATGGGTGCAAATGTCGCACCAAACGCGAGTTGGACGGTTGCTGCGCCCCACATCATTGTGTGCGCGCAAAAGGGCCCGATGGACCTCGTCGCACGATTTGACGTGCCAGCATGATGACCAGAGAATCTCCAATGCGGGTTGTGCGCCCGTGGGCCGGCTGGACAGAACCCCTTATGCAATGGTTGGTTGACGTTTGGGGTGGGCTGGTTCTGGTTGCGCCCTTCCGCAGTACTGCGTTAATGCACTAAACCCTTTGAGCGTGCCGCGTGGACACGGGGGCGCAAACGCCGACAAGCACATTGATGCAGCGAGAGCGTGGTGCCACGTGGCGGCTGGTGGGTTGATGTGGCGGATGGTGCGGATCGCGTGCGACTGGGCGCCAGGGGGATGCCAAGCGCATCGCGTTGATGGGTCCCGTCCAGCGGCCGTGCCAGCGGTGGCGGGTGAGGGCGCTAACCGCCGGCCGGCCGGCCCTCGGCTGTCGAGCGTCTCGGGGCCGGACCCTAATGCGGATCAGGGCGGCAAGCGGAAAAAAATCGCCGATTTCGCAACGCAGGGAGAGCGCCGGAGGCAATCCGAGGGGGAAGATCTGGCGCAGGGCGTGCGGATGGCGCAAGCTGGCGGAGGGGATTGGCGCCAAGGGGGCGGTCGGCCACTGTGGGGAGCCAGAGGCTCCGGCGGGGGGCAATGCCGACGGGCGTCCGCACCTCGAAATTCCTCCACCGGTGATGTCGTAGATGCAATGCCCGGCGGATGCCTGTCGCCGGCCTGTGGGGGTTGGCGCGGCTCTCGCTGCACGCCCGCTGGATTGGTGGCGCCGATGCGGGAAGGGAAGCAGTGAAAGGAGGGGAACCCCAGCGGCCGTGCCCGCCTCGCCCTCCACCTTTCCCGCCTCTTCCTCCCTGTCCTCCTCCCTGGTCGTCCTCCTCCCTGATCCTCCTCCTCCCGCCTCCAATGCGCCAACGGGGGTGGGCGGCTACATATTATGAGTGGAGGTAGCGGGCCGTCAAGATGATCAGTTAGAGAGGGCTTAGGGGGTGTTAGTGTGGAGGGTCTCGGATTAACGAGGGTGTTCCTGACGCAGACCATGAGTACGCAGACGGACACCCACCCCTTCAATCATTACGCCAAACCGCCCAACCCTGATCCGTCTACGTCTCCGCCTCCGCCACCGTCTCCTTATCTGGAACCCTAAACACCGCGTCAAAACAGCCGTTAGTCATAAGCACATCAAAGGCGGGCTCATGGCTGACATAGGGCAGATGATTGGGCCAATATCAAACAACCAAGGTGAAAACGGAAAGAGAAGAGAAGGGAAAAAAGAAAAGAATAAATGTACATTATATAAGAAAGTGCTAGGGAGATTTGTTAATATGATGTAAATGGCACATTGAGAAAATAGTCATCATGCTTTTACGATTTAGGTGCCTAAGTGATGCCTAGATGATGGTTGTAGGAGAATGGCAAGAGAAACAATGAGGCAATCCACCATCCCCCTATGGCTACCCATTTATGGATATGTTGAAGAACATTGATAATATCTAACTAGGGCTCAACGGTTCATAAGCATGACCGCTAAAGTTTTTCAAGAGGGCGACATGTTTTATTTCATGGAAAAGTAGTACTGGGAGGCTAGATTTGACGGACATGAATATTTCCATTTAAAGCACCTCCAAAGGTTTGGACTTGATGGTTGTTTGGATGTTGGGCCTTGTTATTGTAATCTACATGAGAATTTAACCAAGAAAGGACAATCAACTCTATGCATGGATAAATTGTTTTGAAACATTCAGGACAAACTTCCTGTAGTAGCTATAGAGCCCTATGAAGGACCTGACATCTATGACGCTTTCTGGCATAGGCCAATCCAAAATTGCCTTGACTTTTGATAGTAATGGTTTGATACCTTCCTTCCTAATATCAAAGCCAAGGTATTCGACTTTAATTCTTAAGAAATTGCACTTTGGCAGGCGTCCGGAGAACTTCTCCAACAGTAGCTGATACAAACTAATGTTAAGGTGGGCGCCTTCCCGCTAAGTCCGTGGACCCACCTCGCCACGGCACGTGAGTCACCATGACTCACGCCGGACCACCCGTTACAAGACGGTATAATATATATATTTATATGTTCTATTACTTTATGTGGCTTGAGACTACATACATAGTCTAGGGAAGCCAGTCACCCTAGACCAGTGACAAGGGGACGGTATCTAGTCAACTAGAGTTCCAATAATGGAACTCAATATAATTTATAATGCCTTAATGGGTTTTAATACCCCTACGGTGTATCAACTTGTCCCTTCCCCGGGACCGACGTCCTCGGAGGTATACAATGTGTCACGTAAATACACGGCGAGAACCTACTAAAGAGTCATCCAGCAGGTCTCCCGGTTGAGACAAATACCTTACCTATTTTGTTGTTGGCAGAACACATTAACAAGAGGAGCCACATACATACAAAACAATGCCAAGTCAGATCCCTCCTCTGTTTATGTGTCTACATATCACCCTAGGATCACCCTAAGGGAAAGTCCGTCGCTCCCTACTGGAGGTAAATTAGCTACCCGAAGGTGAGCCGCATCCGCGACCACCATGGGCATCTCGGCCTCCTCTACCACGGCCGCTAGATCCGCTGCGACCTGAGGGTCCACTGCCCCTACCAAGTACGGGTGCTCGCATTGGTCGAATGCCTCTCTCGACATTCTGGATTCAGTGGTAGATCACCTGAATGACAGATACAAGAATTAGTTCTTAGCGTCTTTGTTTCTGACGCCTACTACGTCTAGCACCTGATGGGTGATTATGTTTTGAATATTGATTTTCAAATATTTGTAATATTTCTGCACAGTTGGTCATGTTTCTTTCAGGTTCCCAACTGTTGTGTTCAGGACCATACTCGGTCCATTTTACTAGGTATTTTGTACGTAGTTTGTTTCATACTCGTCGAACACGTTTGTCAAGAATATTCTCGACAGTGTATTCGAGTTCACCCTCCAACTCAATTGGAGGATGTGGAGGTTATACACGACCTCCATCTTTATATAATGCCAATTTCGAAACATGAAATACGGGGTGAACCCGTTTCATGCTCGGCGGTAGCACGAGTCGGTAGGCGACCTCACCAATTCTTGCCTCCACTCGGAATGGCCCAAGCCCTCTTGGCAAGAGCTTTTTCGTCCCTGGATGTTTCAGGGAGATGTTCTTTGATTGTAGGAGTACTCGATCTCCTGATGATGTCTCGTCTATGCGGATCTGCTACACGTCTTTGACAGTCTCGGGCTTATTGTAGGTGCTCTTTTGCCAACTTTAGGGCAGAAGCGACCTTAGCTGTCATTTGAGTAACAACCGGGATCTGGTCTGGGACCTCGTATCCCTCACACCCCTCATGGGTGGTGTCAGACTGTGCAAGACGTGTTGGGATTTCATATGCTAGTGGGCTGACT